TTTTTTTTTTTTTTTTAAAGAAAGTGTAATTATCCGACCCTGCCCTTCTTCCCCCATTTAGTGCATAGTTGGAGTTATTCCTTTTTCACCTTAAGTAAGGTATTATGATCACTTATTTAACAGAAGAGAGAACTGAGGCTCAGAGACAAAGTAAATTGTTGATGGTCACCTGGATGATAAATAGGTTAAGATTCAAACCCATGTATCTGATCCCAAAGTTTCATTATTTCTGCTATTCCAAAAAGTATCTTAAGCATTTGTTCCATTTATTTTAAAATTACTGTGACATAAAGTCTCTAAGTTTCAGCTTTAGATATATGACTTCTTTTGTAAAATGTACAAATAGTTTGCAAATTAAAGTTTAATTATTTGTAGTAATTTCTGGTTCAAAGGGGATCAGAATTTAACTTGAAGGGAATTTTGGTCATTCACCAAAGACAAATTGGTTTTCTGCCTTTGAAATTTATGAGTTTTTCTTAGCTGTTTTAAAATTCCAGGTTCTCCTTGATCAGTAGTGTGCTTTTGTACTTTCAATTGCTTCAAAAAACATTTTAGAAGAAGACTGTCAGAATTTAGAAATGAAAAGCATGTAAATACATGAACAACAATCATTTGAAAAAATAATTTAGTTGGAAAAGGTATATATTCTGTCTCTCTAGATATGTATATGTTGTAAAAAAAAAGATCCAATTTTATTCTTTCCATACGGCAATCTATTTGTGTTAGCACTAATTTGTTTAAAAGACTATTTCTTTCCCATTGAATGGTATTCACATACTCTTTGGAAAATAAATGGGCCTACATGTGAGATATTTATACATATCTATTCCACTTATCCATGTGTTTATCCTAATGCCCGTACCACACATTTAATTTCTATAGCTTTTTAAAAAAAGTTATTTATTTTTTGTCTGTCAATGGGCCTTTCTTTTATTTATTTATATGTGGTGCCGAGAATTGAACCCAGTGCCTCATACATGGTAGGCTAGTGCTCTGCCAYTGAGCCACAACCCCAGCCTTAATTACTTTAGTTTCCTAGTAAATTTTGAAGCTGATAAGCACAGGTCTTCCAGTTTTGTTCTTTCAAGATCATTTGGTTATTCTATGTCACTTGAATTTCCATATGAATTTTAGGACCACGTGTCAATTTATGCAAAGAAGTCAGCTAGAATCTCTATAGGGTTTATTTCGACTCTATAGATCAGTTTGGGTAACATTTAACATTTAACATTTTAACATTTAACTTTTAACATTTTAACATTTAACATTTTAACAGTATTACATCTTTCAGCTGGTAAACATGGATGATTTTCCATTTATTTAATACTTTAGAAATTTCTCTCAGCAGTGTTTTGTTATTTTAAAATGGAGGTTAAATTTTATAATTCTTAAGATTGCAGCAAACTGAGACAGCATTTCCCAAGAATTGTATGAGAAAGTAACCCTTCAAATTTTGTAAAATAACAAAATTGTTGTGTGAGTGGTGAGCATATGCCAAGCCCAGAACAATTTAGAATCAAGGATAGAATTCAAGAGAATCAAGGCTGCAGCAGTAATATTTTAGATTTATAAACTGTATGTCCATCTTAAGTGTTTTAGGAAAAATTAAGCTTTAAAATTTAAGGGATCAATCTGTGATCCTGAAATAAATTATGTAATAAACTAATAAAAAATAAAATTTGTTTTTCTTTAGTCAAATTTATTATTATTCTTTTTTTAAAAAAATATTTATTTTTTAGTTGTAGTTGGACACAATAGCTTTATTYTCTGTATTTATTTATTTATTTTTTATGTGGTGCTGAGGATTGAACCCAGGGCCTCACAGGTGTTAGGTGAGCGCTCTCGCTGAGCCAGAACCCCAGCCCAGTATTTTATTCTTTTCATGCTATTGTAAGTGGAATTGTTTTCTTCATTTTCAGATTGCTCATTGCAAGTGTGTAGAAATTCAATTGTTTATTGTATACTGACTTTTTATACTTCAACTTTACTGAACTTTTTATTGTTAGTTTAGTGGATTCCTTAGGATTTTCTATATAYAGAATTCTATCTTATGCAAATAGAGAGTTTTACTTCTTCCWTTTCAATCTGATGCTCCCCTTTTTAATTCTTTGTTTTTTCTTTCTTTGCTTTTTTTCCCCCCTCGTGGTACAGGGGCAYCAAGGGTGCTTTGCCACTGAGCTACATTTCCAGCCCTTTTATTTTTTATTTTGGGACAGGCCTCACAAAGTTGCCTAGGCTGGCCTGGAACTGGTGATACTACTGTCTTACTTTCTTGAGTCTCTGGAATTATAGGTGTGTGCCAATATACTTGACATAGTAATTTTATTTTGTGCATACACAGGTAAGTATCAGTTTTAGATTTAAGGATTTCAGTTTTCTGTCACATACGCCACAGTAAATACACTCTGCATGGAGGCAGTTTTATTTTGTTTCTCAGCTGTTAAAAATGATGTTTAATAATAGGCACAGCTCAGCAAAAGAGGCAGACATTGCCTACAAATAATCATTCAACAAAATTATAAAAAACTTTAGAGCCTATTGGAGTGACTTTTCATGAGAAATGGTAATCATGATAATAATAGTATTAGTAATAGTTACACTCTATTGCACTTTACTATATTTTGGCAATCTGATGACATTTTATTCCATTTTCTTGCTTAACATTACTCATTCTTCTTTGCTGTTTCATATTATTTCATTGTCTGGATGCATCATAATTATTTTTCCCATCTCTCATTGAATGACATATACATTGCTTCCAATATCTTGAAGTTGTAACAATGCTATAATAAATAACCTATTACATATTACAGCAGTTCTCTTTTTCATCTCTTTACCTTCTTGTGTATGTTATGACTTAATCTTAGGAAGAATTTAATAAACATCTAAATTTTGTTTTCCTGTAAAGTKGCTTAGTTCATATTTGACCTTAATTATTATCCTATCTAGTATTTCAAAAGTGATGTCATAAAGCCAAATTATATCACAAATCAAATATTTAACCTTTTAAACATAGACTTTTAAAATAAACAATTAAAATTTAATTTAAAAATTAATTAATTTAGTTTAAAAATCTTAAAATTTTTATCAGGCCCCCTATTCCATATTTTTATGGATTTTAGTTCAYATTAATCATTAATTTGCTAAAGAAAGTGGGAACAGGAGTGGAGCCTTTGCTAAGGGAGCAGCATTTGCAGAGTTTGCAGATAAATGAGATCATAGATTGCAAATTTAGGGTAGCATACATKTGGTTAAAAACAATTT